TGCCTCAGTATCTCCGTCCAGGGAGCAGAGCCGTCAGCTGTTTCCCCAGGTTCAGCTCAACACTGGGAGAATGACCCCCGTGAGAGACCCAGGGGGTCTCCAGGGGGCCCGTGGCCACAGCAGAACCTTCAGGGAGGGGTGGTCCCAGCAGCCCCCCAACCCGGTCCCCACCCTGCACCCCCATTGCTAGGTGGGAGGCTGGCCAGCCCCGGCCGCTCCAGGCCACCGTCCCTCCAAGTTAATGATCACAGGCCTTATCAGGGCCTTTTGCCGTTTATAAATTTATAAAACAAAAGAGAAATAATAAAGCGCATGGGTAATTAGTAACCAGGTCAGCTCTGCTGAGGAGAGGGGAGGCATCGCGCTGGACCCACCCAGTTCTCCGCGAGGTGGGGAGCCGGCCAGGGGAGCCCAGAGCCCGGCGGCCTCTCATGGCGCCCGTGGGCCAGCTTGGGGCCTGGGGCCGTGCAGCCAGGGGAGCAGCCCCCACCTGAGGCTGCAGTCACTCTAGGTGAGCAACACCTGGGCTTTCCCCTGCCCAGTGCGGGAGTCCCCGGACGGCCGGGAAGCCCCCCAAGCCCCATGCCCAGCCCCTCCTCCCCAGTGGGACTTCCCGGGCTGCAGGCGGAGGACTTGGCCCGGAAGGTAGGGCTTGGGCAGCATGGAGGCCATGGGCGCTGCAGGCGTTGGAGTTGTGGCCCCGACTCAGAGCTGCTAGGACGCGGCCACAGGCCCAGCTCCGCACCGAGCGAGGGCCCCCCTTAGCTCCCAGGGGGCCGCCCCTTTCCCGACGTCTAGCTGGTGGGGGGGGGGGTCCTTACTGCAGCAGGGTCTCCACCACGGCCTTCTGGTGGGCTGCCTCCTCTGGGCTCAGGTTCTCCAGCTCCTTGAGGATGGGCGGCGTGAAGTCCTCCCCGTCGTCATCCGTCTCGTCCTCGGAGCCCCGCGGCTCCGCCAGCCCGTTGGGCAGCTCTGCCAGCTCAGCCCGGCCACCGCCGCAGGGCTCCCCCTTGTCCAGGGGGCCATCGCTGGCCAGCAGGTAGGGCCCCGGCTCTCCCAAGGCCTGGATCAGCGCCTCTTTGCTCAGGCCGGACTCAAGCAAGGCCGCCAGGAGCTCCGTCTGCAGCTGGCTCAGCTTAGAAACCATGGCTCCACCAGCCACGGGGCCACGCGGCCCGGGGCCACCGAGCCGGCCGCCTCCCCCACCGCGCGGGTCCTCTACTTGCCCGCCGGGCAGCAGACACAGGCCAGGCTCCTGGCACCCACAGCCCCCCCAAACCCCACTAGCCAGGCCCTGTGGGCACCCCCAACCCCCAATCCTGGCCCCAGCGGCCAGTGAATCAGGGCCCCTGCCTGCTGTTTACATTGGAGCTGGGGAAATTCTCCAAGGTTCATATTTATCCGTGTGCTTAGCGAAGGCACTGAACTTTGGACTTCAGCCCTGCAAAGTGCAGGCCTCGCGGCAGCCGGAGAACCAGAAGCCGCAACCCTGGATGGGAGTGGGCAGAGGGGAGGGTGGGGAGAGCGGAGGCGGGGGGCTGGGGGCAGCTGGGAGCCAGGGGAGCCGCAGGCTGAGCGGGCTGGGCCCACCCCCCCGGGACCTCGCAGGGGGTCAGGCGCAGGCAGGAGAGCAGCGGAAGCAGGAGAGGGCAGGCGCCAGGGAGCTCTGGGCAGCTGGGCGGGCTCTCAAGGGCAGAGCTCGGTCACGGCCACTTGGGGACCCTCCCCCTGCACCCCAGGCCTCCCCACAGCAGTGCCCCGCGAACAGTGCCAGGTCTCCCTGAGTCCTGTCCCTGCAAACAGCTCAGGGCTTCTGTCCGCCTTATAGGGGAGGAGAAGCCACTGGCAGTGAGGGCCGGGCCATGCTGAGCGGGACAGATTGGGGTGAGCAGGCCTCCGGCCCCCAGGAGCAAACTTTAAGAGGGTGCCAAAAACCTCAGCCATCAAGATAAGTAGCATTTTTGTGCTATCTATTTAAGATTTATTTATTTGAAAAACAGAGTTTCCACTGGTTCTCTCCGAAGATGGCCACAACAGCCAGGGTGGGGCCAGGCCAAAGCCAGGAGCTTCGTCCTGGTTTCCCACGTGGGTGCAGGGACTGAAGCACTTGTTTCCATTGCTCGCCCAGGTGCATCAGCACGGAGCTGAGTGGGAAGTGGAGCAGCCGGAACACAAACCAGCATCCATATAGGATGCCTGGGCTGCAGGCAGTGGCTTTACCTGCTACGTCACAGTGCTGGCTCCTATGTGGAATATACATATACATATGTGTGTGTGTATTTTTTTTTTTTGACAGGCAGAGCTAGACAGTGAGAGAGAGAGACAGAGAGAAAGGTCTTCCTTCCATTGGTTCACCCCTCAAATGGCCGCTACGGCCGGCGCTGCACTGATCCAAAGCCAGGAGCCAGGTGCTTCTCCTGGTCTCCCATGTGGGTGCAGGGCCCAAGCACTTGGGCCATCCTCCACTGCCTTCCCGGGCCACAGCAGAGAGCTGGACTGGAAAAGGAGCAATTGGGACAGAATCCGGCGCCCCGACTGGGACTAGAATCCGGTGTGCTGGCGCCACTAGGTGGAGGATTAGCCTAATGAGCCATGACACAAACCATTTGCATTCATTTTAAAAAAAATATTCCGCATTGGCTGGTGCCGCGGCTCACTAGGCTAATCCTCTGCCTGCAGCACCGGCACCCCGGGTTCTAGTCCCAGTTGGGGCGCCGGATTCTGTCCCGGTTGCTCCTCTTCCAGGCCAGCTCTCTGCTGTGGCCCAGAAAGGCAGTGGAGGATGGCCCAGATCCTTGGGCCCTGCACCCACATGGGAGACCAGGAGGAAGCACCTGGCTCCTGGCTTCTGATCGGCGCAGCACACTGGCCATAGAAGCCATTTGGGGAGTGAACCAACGGAAGGAAGACCTTTCTCTCTCTCTCTCTCTAACTCTGCCTGTAAAAAAAAAAAAAAAAAAAAGAATGCAAACACAAAGAATGGGAGACATATCACCCAGATGTTCCCAGCAGCATTGCTCGCAACAGCCACAGTGCAAGCAGCGTGAGGATTCCCCAAAGGAACGAAGTCTGATTTGTGCCCCGAAGGGCATGACCTTCAAGAGCCAGGAGTGAGACACAAAACGTGCAGAATCTGTAGAGACGGGCGCCTGCGCAGATGCCAGGGGCTGCCCGGAAGAGGAGCAGGGTGCGCCCGCTGTGCGGTGCGGGGCTGTCCCAGGACACCACTGGAGCCCACTGCGTTGTACCTTTTCAAAACAGGGAATCTGATGTCATGGGAATCAATTTAAAATATATTTTAAGTGAATGTTAAAAAAAAATCTGTTGGGGCCAGCACTGTGGCCTGAATTGCCAGCATCCCATATGAGCACCAATTCAAGTCCTGGCTGCTCCACTTCCAATCCAGCTCTCTGCTGTGGCCTGGGAAAGCGGTAGAAGATGGCCCAAGTCCTTGGGCCCCTGCACCCATGTGGGAGACCCAGAAGATGGCTTCGGATTGGCACAGTTCCGGCCGTTGCAGCCATCTGAGGAGTGAACCAGCAGATGGAAGACCTCTCTCTCTCTGTCTCTCCCTTTCTCTGTAACTCTACCTCTCAAATAAATAAAATAAAATCTGTAAAAAAAAAAAAAAAAAAACCTGTGATGACCAAAATAACAAACTTTTAAAAACAGGCTCCCGCCCCCACCACCCCACCCTGAGCCAAGCCCTGGGGCCGTCTCACCCTGCCCCTCTCTCCCAGCCTGGACGCCAGGCCTCACTGGTCCCCTCGGCCACTCTCAGAGGGCGCTCAGCCGCTAAGCATGGGCAAGCGCCGTGCAGTGGGTTAACGGCGACCCCCCCACCCCCAGGTAGACTGAAGAGGTGGTTCATCACTCACCAGCACCCTCCAACCACGTGTGGCTTCCAAGCACCCAGGATGGGGCCACTGCCGCTTGCCTAAATGATGTTTTGGACATAATGGGTGAAGCTTACAACATAAAAATGTAGGAGTAGGCGTTTAGCCTAGCAGCTAAGACAGCAGAGTCCTGGGCACAGTGCCAGCCCTGCCTCCTGATTCTCGATTCCTGGCGGGCAGCGGTGACGGCCAGACAGGCGGGGCCCCCACCCACGTGAGAGATCCCGACTGAACTCCGGGCTTCAGCCCAGCCCAGGCCCGGCTGTTGCAGACACTTTGGGAGCTCCCTGTCTCTCCATCTCTGCCTCTCAAATAAAAAAAAATCAATTGTAAAATGAATTATAATTAATCATATTTTAACTAAAGCATAATAGTAACCATAATTATATTTGATTATATAATAATCATATTAAAATATTCCCCTATTATCGGAGGGTACATCAAAAATTTCATAGGAAATGTAATTTAAAATAATGCACATTTCCATGAACTTTTTGAAGACTTTTTGCACTTAATTGTTACTAATTATATTTAATATGTTAATTATATTGTGTTTAATTTTAAAAGTTACAAAATAACTTCACTTTTTTTTTAACTTCTCTAATAGTGCTTCTGGAAAACTTGAAATGACACAGGTGGCTGATTTTTCTTTTTTTTTTAAGGTTTATTTTTATTTATTTGAAAGAGTAACAGAGAGATGTAGAGACAGAGAGGAGAGAGGTCTTCCATCTGCTGGTTCACTCCCCAGATGGCTGCAACAGCTGTAGCTGTGCTGATCCGAAGCCAGGAGCCAGGAGCTTCTTCTGGGTCTCCCACGTGGGTGCAGGGGCCCGAGCACTTGGGCCATCTTCTACTGCTATCCCAGGCCACAGCAGAGAGCTGGATGGGAAGAGGAGCAATCAGGGCTAGAACCAGCGCCCATATGGGATGCCAGCACTTCAGGCCAGGGCGTTACCTCCTGTGCTACAGCGCCGGCCCTGGCTGACATTTCTGTCCTACGATTTGCTTGCTGTGCCATGTTGACTGACTGCGGTCTCTCTTCTCTATATTTGAAAGGCAGAGAGACAGAGACAGAGCAATTCCATCCGCTGGTTCACCCCTCACATGCCCACAACAGCCAGGGCTGGGCCAGGCCGAAGCCAGGAGCCAGGAGCGCCACCTGGGTCTCCCGCACGTGTGGCAGCGACCCAGCTCTTGCGCCATCACCGCTGCCTCCCAGAGTGCACATCAGAGGGAGCTGGAATCCGAGCAGGGCTGGGCCTCGAGCCCGGGCGCCCCATCGTAGAATGCCGGCATCCCGCACGGCCGCCCTGCGTTCGCCCTCTAACTCACCCTTAGCTCACTGCTGCTCAGACAACTGTCACCAGGAGCACGAAGCAGAGCCCCCAGCTATGTGGTTCAAGACACCTTTGGTGTCATGGCACCTGTAACCCTCCCGCCCCCTGCCCAAAACACGGTTACTCGAGCCTTGGAATTAGATTGGACGCTACCACCGCCACTTCCTGGCCCACGACAATTTCCGCGAAACCCTTGTTCTTAGCACAAGCGCATAAACTCGGTTTCACCGTGCAAAGTCGCACCACCTAACACTGGACGCCTGAGCCAAGCTGAGCTACGGTTTGCACGGTTTCCAGCAGATGTCGCTGTTTCCTTACAAAAAAACAAACCCTCCAGCTGCTGGGCCGCCTTGGCGCGGGGCAGGGGCCACGGGCCCAGCGCACTGCCTGGACCAAGCCGGTGTTTCATCAGCCGAGCTGAGCGCGGTCACCATTCTCGCCTACTCGCAGGGCTGAAGTGCAGGCAATACAGACTCCTTCCGCCGGACACGGGCGCTGGGGACAGAGGACCCGACCCGGTCCACCGCCTGCGAGCCCAGCGACCAGGGACGGCGGAGTGCAGGTGCGCCCGGAGCAGGGCTGGCCCCTACCGTGACGTCACGCGACGTGACGTGGCGGCCGCGGCCCGGGCCCCAGGAAGCCTTCCCGGATCACCCCTGGAGGGCGGTGGTTCCAGCTGGCCTGCGGTCTTTGCGCCTCCAGCCCACCGCAACCGCGTGGGGAGCCACGGTCTCCTCCCTGCACCCTGGCTCTGCGGGGGCTCCGACTCCGGAGCCCCCAGCCCTGAGACCGCTGTCCTGGCCCACGCCCTCCTGGGTGCCGGCTACCATGACGCTGTCTCGCCATCGCCAGTTGGAGGCGTCCGCCTCCTCCCGCAAGCAGCGCTCCCCTGGGGCGGGCACCGCGTGGCAGTCGGGGTGCGTGACCAGGCCCCGGCCGGTGCCCAGCGCTGCGCTGAGAGCTGCGGGGGATGCCCGCACGCTGCGTCGGGCGCCTCTGCTTCCGTTCCGGCCCCCTGCTGACGCGCACCCTGGAGGCAGCAGGTGATGGCCCCGGGCCCGCCACGCGCATGGGGTCCAGGACGGAGCCCCTGCTCCCGGCTTCGGCCTGGACCAGCCCTGGCCATGGCCGCCATGGGGGAGTGAACCAGCAGATGGAAGACCTCTCTCTCTCTCACTCACTGTCACTCCGCCTTTCAAATATATGTTCTTTAAAAGATGATACGTCCCAAATGCGAGAATCCATTACCGCTTGCAGCATTATTTACTTAGCGCGTTTTTTCTCTATCAACGCATTTTTATACTTGTTTTAATACTTTTAAAGATTCTGTGTGTGTATTTGAAAAGAGAAACACAGACAAGCCAAGACAGCTCCCACGCACACCGTAATTCGCTCCCCCAATACCTACAGCAGCTGAGGCCCGGCTCGGCTGAAGCCAAGCACTCCTGTGTGTGCTGCAACCCGGCTGCTTGAGCCGTCGCGAGCAGGAAGCTGGAGTCCAGAGCCGGAGCCGGGAATCGAACCCAGGTGCTCAGAGGCGGGGAGTGGGCGGCCTAACCCCACCCCATTTACTTGACAGGAGAACTTGCTGTAACTGTGACACACAGAAGAGCGACTGCTGTGCCGTGAACATGGCGGTGGGATGGAGTGCCCGCCTGCTCCCGCGGCACCGGGGCCCTGAGCCTGGCTTCTGCTCCCTGTTGGCTTCCCGGTGTCACCAGGAAGCGTGGCCACTGTGAGAGGGGCACTGAGGACAGGCCACGCTGACTGAGCCGTCCCCCTTGGAGGCAACTCCAGACCGAGCACTGGCCGTCTGTGGTCAGGGGGCAACCCCTCACCCTCATCTTCATCCCCCCCCCCCCCCCAGCCAGTAAATGCTGATCCTGCCTGTGCCTCACCCACAGCGCCCTGGCTCTGCGCTGGCTGCTCCTGTATCTGGAAAGCACTTGTTAATCCCTTCCCGTCCTCAGGCTCTTCCTGAGCAGAATCCCCCACGAGCCCCTTGTGCCGCGCAGCTCCTGGGTTGAGCACGCAGACTCCTGCGCCCACACGAAGGTGCTGATGCAGCAGGTGTTGGGTGAGCGTGCAGCTGTGGCAGCTCCTTGCACCCCGAGCAGAGGGCTGGACTCTGGTTCTCTGTACAACAGGAGTGTTTGAGGAAGATAACGCACTGCAGACCATCGCTAGCAGGGACCTGCACACAAAGCAGCCAGGGAGAAGCCGGAAGGGAGGAACAGCTCAGTGCTGCCTGTCTGTGGGCCACAGATGGCATTAACCAAGGTCTGGACAGCCAGGGCTGCATAGACGCCGGTGCCTACCTGCCCGGAGCTCCCTGCACGGCACCTGTCGGAGAGAGAAACTCTCCGGAAGGAGCCCAGGCAACAGGTTTTGAACCATCTCTGGGATTTCCTGAAGGCGTCTTGTCAATTCAGTTAGATTGCAAACTCTGAGAGGTCAGAGACAACCTTGACTTTCCTTGACTCCCCTTGCACCTGACCAGCTCCGGTCTGGCCTCAAGGACGGAATACAAACACCTGTTGTTTCGAGAGCAACACCTGCTGAGAAGGAAGGGGCGGGGCCTGGCCTGCCGCCTCGGTGTCGTGGCCAGCAGAGGGCGCTCTGCGCCCACGCAGCAGAAGCCTCCAACCCGCCGGCGCCGAAGAATTCCCAGTCTCAGGGGGGTTTTACAAGTTTGGATTCCAAGGTCCCGTCTCCATTGTTTCTGAGCCAGACTCCCCAGCCGAATGCCAGAGGATCTCTGCTCTGAACACACACCTGAGGCAGCTCGGCGAGCAAGCACACACGTTGCAGAAGCTCTGGCAGGTGCCGCCCTAGAGGAGGGAAGACAGCCTGAGGCCAGCCAGGAGGGCGCCACGACGCCGCGCCCACATCGGAGCCTGGGTCAAGTCCCAGCTGCACTCCCAAGTCCAGCTGATGAGCACCCTGGGAGGCAGCAGGAGATGGCTAAGTGCTTGGGTCCCCGTCACCCCACATAGGAGACCCCGATGGAGTCCCAGGCTCGGGGTCTTGGCTCGGTCCAGTACTGGGTTGGCAGAGGGGCAATGCATCTGCACCCCAAAGATGCAGGGAGTTTGTGGGGGGCAGCTGGGAGAGGTGACTGCCAGGGGCTCTGGGATCAGGTCCCTTCCAGGCCTCTGCCTACAGGGCCCTTTTAAAAATTAGTTACTTGTGAAGATTTACTTACTTGAAAGGCAGAGTGACAGAGAGAGAACCATCTTTCATGCTCTGGCTCCTTCCCCAAGTGCCCATAACAGCCAGAACTGGGCCAGGCTGAAGCCAGGAGCCACGTGGGCCATCTTCTGCCGCTGCCCAGGTGCCCTGGCAGGGAGCTGGGTCAGACGCAGTGCAGCCGGGACTCGAACCTGCACTCCCATACGGAGCGTGGGCTTTGCTGCACCACCG